TGCACTGGCCTGTCCATGTGGGGCCCTTGCTGCAGGCTCCCTCCTGTCAGGCCATCTTGCACACTGTGACCTGGTCTGCAGGCCTCACACGTGAGGCTGGGTTGGCAAGCCAGGCACGGACCTCTATGCCCAGATACTGTGCCCACATTGGGGCATGGTGTTTGTGGGACCCTCTGCCTCTCTTTCCTCCATCGAGACCCCTGCTTCAGGAAACACAAAGGTAACTTTTCTTAGCCAAGGAGAGATTACAGAAGCTGGAGGTGAGGCAGAGGCCAGGGCTTCTCCAGCACTCGGCCCTCCTCCCTCCTGTGACTCCGAGCCAGCTGCTCCCCTGGAATTTCAGGCTGGTGTGTCCCTGTCACTCTTGGGAGGTGCAGGGGCGCCCTCTCACTCCCTCCTATAGTGGGAAATCTTCGGATACAGCAGTGGCTGCTGATGTGGGCAAAGGTTGCTTTGGGGGAGGATAAGTGAGGTCTGCTGGGGTGTCCAGGGTGTCCAGCAGGTGGGCACAGGCAGGGAAGCTGTGAACTGCCTGCCCTCCCCAGTAGGCCGTTGGGTGCTGAGGGTGGCATCCGTCTACAGAGTGGCAAGAGAGGGGACACTGTAGTTATGAGGGCCACAGGGTCCCCAAGACTGTAGCCCAGCCTGGCTACCTGTGGCCACTGTTCCTGGATGCCAGCGGCAGAGTGAGTCCACCTGTTCTGGCCCACACCTGGCCCCTCTGCAGGACGGCAGCACCTGGACTCTGCTCCGTCCCTACCTCGAACCTCCTGGGAGGGACACAGAAGCCGACTCCCATGCCCCGCTGGCCTCTTCCCACTGATGCTGAACGCCAGGCAGGCTGCCACTGACCTGACCACTCCTCAACGGCCACTTAGGGGATGACGCAGGAGCCCCTTAGGCCACTGGAAACTCAGCTTCTGCCCTAGGGATGGCAGGGTTCCCGGGCGGCCCACGGCCTGCCTGACCTTTGCCGGCAAGGTATGAGGAGTAGCTCTGCTGGGCCAGGTGGGTGGCACACAGGGAACAGAGCTGGTGTCCCCACTTGGAAGCCTCACACATACGCCTGCCTTGCATCATCACCTGGTGAAGCTGTCCCCAACTTTGGAACCCTGATGGAGCCAACGCTTGCCAACTGGCTGAGATTACCAAGCAGGAGACACATTGTAACAGTTTGTTGCAGCCTCTCAATACCCGCATCTTAGGCCTGCGGGCCAGTGAAGGCACTGGCGAGAGGGTTTGGGCTGGGGATGGGGCTCAAGCGGTAGCGTGCTCTCCTGGCATGCGTGGGGCACTGGGTTCGATCCTCAGCACCACATAAAAATAAAATAAAGATGTTGTGTCCACTGAAGACTAAAAGGTAAATATTTTAAAAATAAAGGAGGGAAAACATCCCAGCAGTGGCTCTGGGGACACCAGAGGGACAGAGCCATGGCCCTTGGGTTCCTTGGGCTGTGGGCTGAATCCCTTGGGGGGAGGTTTGGGGGCTGAACTCTGTTTATTGCCACAGGGTGAGGCCACCAGGCTCCCCTGTCCCCTGTTCCTCTCCACACCCACAGTTGCTCCCTCCAAGGAGCTCACTCTGGGATGGAGTCAGACCAGAGAAGGAAGGAGGGCGGAGGAAGGAGGGACAGAGGGAGAGAAGAAGAGAGGGAAAGAGGAAGGGGGGAGGAGGGACAGAGGGAGAGAGGAAGGGGGGTAGGAGGGTGGGAAGGAAGAGCGAGGAGGCACAATTATGAACTGTGATCCCAGGGGCGGTGACTGACCTGGCTGGGCTGGACAGGAGGCTGTGACCCTGCAAGCCTCATTCCATATAAGGGAAACGGGGGGTCACCAGTGATGGCGATCTCTGAGGGCCCCTGGAAGAGCTAGAAAGGGGCTTCCTCCGGAAACTGGGCACTAAGCTGGAAAGGGGAGGTCATGTGTTGGGTGGGGTGGCAAGAACATTCTAGACAGAAGGTGCAGAGGTGAGCAGGATGGAGAGGTCAGCTGGCAGCTAGCTGCTCCTGGTGTGGGCAGGGAGAGTGAGGGTCTCTGGGCACTGGTGGCAGAATCCGAGCTCAAACTCCTGCTGGTGAGGGTTGAGTCCTGAGGACAGTGGAGACCCTGGCCTGCCTCCCTCCCACACCACAGGGGTCTTGCCCTGGACAGAGTGTCAGGAGCATTCATTCCTCAGCCCCTGCCTGGCCACTGGTGGGCAGCAAGCCCTTTGCACACCCTGCCTGGGAGAGGGACTCTTAGGAATGACACCTTCAGAACTTCCTGGGTTCCTCATGTGCAGACCAGAGGTGGGCTCTGAAGGTGCTCCTGCTTCTGACTGGACACAGGCTGGGCTGCTCAGAGCACGGCTTCCTGAGTTCTGCAAGGTGGGGTCCTTGGGTTGGCGATTGCCACAGGGGGCTGGTGGGAGTGCAGGAGGCTCTGGGGATGTGGCTGGGGTGGGCCCTGCCTGAGGCTCCCCCCTTTCTTCTTAGGCAAGGGTGTCACACAAACACCCACAGAGACTGAGTGGCCCCCAGGGGACAGACCTGGGGAGTCCCTGGAAGGTGACTTGAGGTCAGTGTGCAGTGTGTGGGCAGTGGAGGCCACGGGGCTGGAGGGAGGCCTGGGGAGCTGGTACGGGAATGTTCAGAGGCGTCTTTAACCTGAAGCCATGCCAGGGCCCCAGGGGTGCACCTCACAGCTGGCCCCCTCCCTAGAGGGAGAACAACTCTGGGAGAACTCAGGATTAAAAATCGCTCAGGGGTTTCTAAATCCAGAAAACTCTGACTGGCTACAGAGAGCGAAGAGGCTCCCAGGGAAAACCGGCCTCACCTTGGCCTAGAGGAGGCCCTGTGCCCAGCCTGGTGCCAGCGCAGCACCACAGCCCCAGGAACCCCTGAGGCTGGGAGAGACGCAAGCCCACTCAAGAGCTGGGATCATTTTAAGGCTGGAAAGTCGGATGTGCTCCCTGTCTTCCCCGGGTCACAATAACCCCAGTGTGTGGATGTTTAATTTCGGGCTCCTGGAAGCCCTTGGTGGGCAGGCGGAAGGACAAGCTGGGCCCCTCCGTTTCCTGGGGAGGAAGCAGGCAGCAGCAGCCTCCTGCTGGGACAAGCCGGCTCCAGCCACCTCAGGCCCACTGGGGGACAGGAGCTCCTCAGTGGCGGGATCTCGGCTGTTTCTCTGTCAGTGCTTCAGCTGCGAGAAAGGAGCTCCGTCTCGGCTTGGCGGACGTGACGCGGAGCCGCCTGGGGATGCACCCCGCTGGCAGCGGCTCTCGTCCCAGCGCCGCCTCGCAGGGCATCCAAGGCTTGTCAGCGCGCCAACACCGTGCCAGCCTCCAGGGTCCCCGCTGGCCCACCCCCCGGCGTCAGCGACGAGCAGTCTGATCGCTGGAGCAGCGGCCGGGCGTGGACTGCCGCCTCCTCCGTCCCCAACCTCCCCTGGAAGACTCCCCTGGGGCTTCTCCACGCGGTCCCCAGCTCCCAGGGAGGCGCTCGCGGCATGCTCCCGGTGGCTCCTGCCTGCTCCCCGGGACCTAAAGCCCAGGAGGCTGCGGGTCGGAGCGCGGGCGTGGGAACGCCCGGGCACCCGGGGTGCCCGGAGCCCTCCACGGCCCACGGAGCTCTTTTCTGGGAGTCGGAGGGGCAGTGAGGTCCGCCCGCGCCCCGCCCACCTCGACCGGCCCCGCCCACCTCGACCGGCCCCGCCCACCTCGACCGGCCCCGCCCACCTCGACCGGCC